AAATGCATCAAGTACACCCTCTTCGTATTCAATACACTGGTTTTCGTAAGTGTTTTTTTTCATTGCAGTTGTTTTTTTATACTGTTACCTAACTGTAAGAGTTTTGAGAGATATTTAAATTCAGATGCGCGTTAGCCCATATTGCCTTGCACAAGCGTGACTGGAAAATTATCCAACGATTTTTCTCCCCATAGGCATTCGCATAAAACGAGAGGGCTTGCACCACTGCTAGATAACGAGAACTAGACTGCTTTTATAATTGTTACTTGTTGTAGGTTGTAGCCTTCGCTCTCAATTTAGCATTAAATGTATGATTCTGAGAAAAACCGTTGTTCCTATTCTATGTTATAATTGTCATTAGCTTTTGATTGTGTATGATGGAACAACCATCCAATGGCAGGTATAAAATGCTTTTCTGTCGATTACACTAATTGGGTATATTCTTTCTATGTGGCATGGATCACTATAGCCATCACTGACGAAACAAGAACTATAACTTAGAAGACAGAGGAGAAGTAATTTTTAGTGTTATAGGAAATGTCGGGCTTGCGCAGCTGATATATGTTCTGAGCTTTTAGAATCGCAAAGTTTTGACAGAACAGTCTTTACCTAAGACCTTGCTGGCTGAATATTTTGTAAACTAATTTGGTTAAATAGGGAGACATCAAGTTTTGTTTCACTGTGCTTACTTTACCGGACGATGATAAAAGAAAAACTAAATATGCATTTTACAAAAATATGGCCTTTTTGTGGCGGTTCAACAACATGCTAAAGGCAAATTATTAGGATTTGCGTTTGTATTTGCTTCTTGAAAAGTGATTATTTTAAATCGAGAATGTCAACTAACCCTCGACATGTTTCTTCACTGAATGGCTTTGTGCCACTCGATGTCCAGACTTACTATAAAAAAATGAATATTCAGTAAGGTTCTTTTATTTGAAATTGGTTACCTCAGGTACACCTATGAATGCATTATTCTGACTATGTTCAAGATAGAGTCTGATGGTGCAGCTTATTTCCAGCAGGGGTTTGGCCCCTGTAAAGATAAAATTCTTAACACGAATTGATGCAAAACATTGCTTTTCCGGTGCTGATACGTGATGTTTCTAACTCAGTGCAGAATGGTTCTCATACCACAACTGACCCAACATACAGTACTGAACTAAGGCAGTTTTTTTAATTGCATTCCCTCCAGAAACAATGTTTTGTTCCCAAAATATCCTTCTTTCGTGTTAAGGAGATTCTCCAATTGGGTGGTATAAAAATATCATAGGAAACACATTGTAAATATTTATTCAAATTGACGAAGTGGCAACGCTTTTCGATATTGTTTAAATGTTGTCTTTATACTTGTAGCAGTTAATATCAATTAAAGTCAGTTAGAAGTCACAAAAAGTGAAATGACACCTTCATGTCAAGGATAATTCTCGTAGGTCTTATCAGTCTAATTAATTAACTGCTTCTTCATTACAGATACTCGGTGGCGTTATACTCGGCTTTGGCATTTACTTTGTCGTGGAAGCAGTGAAAGATGTTAATGGACTATATGTTGGCGTTCCTGCCTTCATCCTAACAGTGGGTGCGCTTGTCCTTCTTCTCGGATTTCTGGGTTGCTGCGGAGCCTGGAAGGAGAATGTCTGCTTGTTACGAACCGTAATATTTTTTTTTCAAATATCTTAACAAAATGTGTTTAGTTTGCAGCAATTATCATTATTTTACTGATAGCCGAAATTATTGGTGGAATATTAGCCTTTGTCTATAGACATAAGGTAAGAAGTTTGGAAACCCAAACACGTCTGCTTCTAACCTATAATAGTTCGTCACGTTGATAGCAGATGGCCTGGCAGACCAGATTAAGGATCTTAAAAATATGAGTAAGACACAACAGACGGGCACCCGGAAGTCAATTAATGAGCTACAACAAAAGGTAAGCTGGCTTCTGACATGATCGTTTCTAATATCTAGCTGGAATGTTGCGGAGGTCATGGTGCTAGCGACTGGGGTACCCACTATCCCCCCTCCTGCTGCGAAAACGAACCCAATGTCTGCACAAAGCCATACGATCAGGTAGGCGAACATTATAAGCATTAGTGTTCTTGGTACACCTTTCAGAAGCACTCAGATGCTACGTTAACCTTTAATACCTATGCATTCCATACATGTCCTTACCGTAGAATTTTTGAAATGTGACAATACCTGTGTTATCTATATATATGGAAAGAAAAGGTACATTGATACATATGTAATGGAACTCACAGAGACAATGGAGACATATCCTACAATTCGCTACGCGACTACTAGTATAGGCTCTACGTAAGCTCCACGACAAAAACTAAACGTACATGTTTCATTATCCTATCGGTGAATCCCTTGCCGTTGTCATATTTCCGCTCGCAAGCGAAAAAGCAACGCGTCCGTTGTGCTGTAGTCAGTTGTTGTTATCAAAGAGTATTCTCCACCATGAAAAAAAACGAGTTCGAATCTCGGGTGATCGACACCTAGGATTGGGTAGGACTCACCGGTAACGGCTAGTAAGCTAGAAATGGCCATTCTTGTCTCCTCTGCCTTCTCGGATCCACTTAATACATATATATAGCGCATATATCTACGAAATCTTAAGCATGCAAGGAACACTATACGTACAACTAATAACGATACTCCAAATATTTGCATAATACTCATATGTTGTTATTTTAATGCATATTAGTGTGCATGCACCCAAACGTGGTCAACATATGACAGATAAGGGCTATAAGTATTCCTCGGTTTATGCCCCAAAGACAGATCAATATTATCAATCAAAATGTACACAAAAGAAACCAATTTGACGGTATTCTGTCAGGTATTTTCAATTTTGTTGACACTGCTCAGCTGATGAATAACAAGCGCTCCCGTACCTTGGTGTAATTTCAGTTAAGTGCTATGTGTTATGATCCTGCAGATGCTATAAGTGTCTTATTTGTCACAGCAACGATCCATTTTCATTTGATTAACACCTGTTTCTTTCTGATAGGGTTGCGCACAAGCCATGTATGATTATATGAAGCAGAAATCACTAGCCATGGGCATTATCCTCTTTGTAATGGCGGTCCTCGAACTTGGCGCAATCATTTCAGCCTGCTGCCTGGCCAAAAAGCTTGGCGAGTATGAAAAAGTCTAAGTCCGATCATCATCGTCAAGGGCTCGATGCGCTCCGGGCCTCTGTGTTAACAACATTCTGCTAATTGAAATGTATTGCTTCGAAGCTGTGCTTTCCCCATTATGCGTCATTCTCTTGTCTGTCATTTGTTCTACTTCCTTTTAACTGTTTCGCAGATATTGTTATTAATTTGGCAGAAAAATAAAAATATCATGGATGCTATGATTTGTCCTACCTTAAAGATAAATAAAGGTTTCTACACTTGACATCTTCGTAAGGCATATATTTTTTTCTGTACAGTAGCGCATAGGTCGTTGTGAGGCTGGACAGATAGAATTCATAGTACAGGACTTTTATAACGCATAGAACATTTAGGTGAAATGGTAAAGAGCAATATCAAGTTTGTTTCGGGCTTAATTGCCTTTATTCAACTATTCCTAGTCCGACCAGCAGACTGGAAAGAAGAAGAAGAAGAAGAAGAAAAAAAAAAAGAATGTTGCTTTATCTACGATTAAACATCATAAATTTTCAGCGAAAAAATGGCTCCATTTACGGGGAGCAAAGAATAGGTAAAGTAATGTGTCATGGTAAAAGGTAAAAGGTCATGTAATACTCACAATTCAAATTTTACACGGGTTCCACGTCTACTATAGAGACAGATCAGATTTCAACTTCTCGATTTCCGCGTCTTCACATGTGAGGTAGCGTGCTAGGAACAGGAGTACCGCGTGCTGATATGCTGATGTTCGCCAAGACATATGACGGAAGCATCGACGCATGCGACGGGAAGACTTCGCATTCATTAATTCAGAGTGAAGAGGGTGAACGCCCCATTAAGGATGCGATCAGCAAATTGCTTGACCGTTTTAAAGTGGCGTTGTACA